CGCTGCCATCCGCTCTCTCTGCAGCACGCGTGTTCCTGCCCGGGATCTCCAGCTGCGGCTCAAGGCGGCTTTTCCTTCGTTCCTTTCCATAGAATCCCCACCCCTGCACGCCCTGCAGAGTAGGGAGTGGGGACCCAGGGCAGTGAGTGCCCTGTGGAGCCCAGGCTGCTCCAGCCTCTTCTCATCATCATGGCCAGGGCAGAGCAGATGTTGGTCAGAGCAGCTGGACGAGCTGTTTCTCCAGCCTCCAGCGTGGCATTGGGTGACACGGAAGGGCTCGTGTATCCACACGCAATGAGTGCTTGTGCTCTGCGTCCACTGGTGCTTCTGGTCCCTCCTGGAAATTAATTTATTGTTCTCTCAAGGCAGAGCTAGCAAAAAACCCTGATGGCTCTCACCTTCCCTTGGGTTTGGACTGTCTAGCTGGTTGAGATCTGTGCAGGGCCCTGAGGTGTGAGCTTTCTGACCTTTCTTCCTTGTTTGCGTGGCAGGGGTGAGTCCTACATGGCGATCCACTGCCTTACAGTCAAAGCTGATGGCTGCTGATGCATCAGCTGGTGGAAGGTTGCTCTGGCCGGCTATCCGGGCTGTTCTGAGAAGCAAAGGGTAAAACTGGCACATCTGTGACATCTGAGGTGTCTCAAACATCAGAATACCACAGACCCCAAACTAACCCCTGGACAAGGGTTGGATCAGGCCGTGGTCTCTGGGGAAGGTGCAGGGCTTACTCACGAGTCGCCTCGAGATCAGCCCTGCTTTGTCACACCAGCGAAGACTGGCACTTCAAACACTCGGGAAAGCTTAGTGCTTGGTTTCCAGGTGTCTGGGTTGGAGGGAAGTGATTAATCTGAGCCTGCAGTGACAGTCTGTTGTTCCATGGAACAAAACGCTGTCACAAGCTGCTGAATTTCCCCCTCGCTGCGGTGCCGGCACTGTGCCGTGCCGCCGAAGCAGCCGGCTGTCCGGAGTGGGTTATCAGGGTACGACTGTGGGGTCGGGGGAGAGGGAAGTCTGCCCTTCAGAATGTCAAATCGTAGAGACACCGATTAGAGAAGTGGCCCTTTGTTTTAAATCGAAAGCACCCCTTGGCGTTAAGAAAAGTCGTTAAGTAGACAAAAGAAAAAATACAGCACAAATGGTGTTTTCAAAGTTGGTGGTAATAAACTGTACGTGTTTCTTAGAAGCTGCTGTCAGTGAAATAAAATTGTATGCTTTGACAGAAAAAGATGCTTGAACTCTCCAGGAGTGCTGCAGCTTTATCCTGGAAATGAAAGGGATGAGAGATTCATATTCCTAAGGGTCTATCCTAGGACTCCTTCGTCCTTCTCTTTCATTAGTGCATGTAGCTACTTTGCTCTGATTGCTTGTGCTCCTTTAGTGGCTTGAGCATTGCTGTTTGCAACTACGAGTGGGAGCATCTTTACCAAAGTGAGAAAAATCAATTGATTTATCTGTCTTCTCTGATATCATTTGTTAAAGGTGGTTTAACATTGTTAGTCCTCTTACCTGAGTGCCATTTATACTGAGAATGATTCCTTTGTGTCTCATTTATTTGTGAGGGTGACACTTTCTGTGCGTATAAATGCACCATTTCAGAAGCCTACGTGCCTGAGCCTCGTGTGGGTGCTGTCTCAGCACACACTTTCCATTCTTCAGAAGCCTGTGCTGGGGCTCTCAGGTGGCTTCAGTCTCTATTCTTGCACTGAGAACCTTGAGAAAAGCCACTCAGGAAAGAATTAATGGTGCAGGCCTTGCTTTGCGGTAGTGAACCTGACCCGTAGAGACCGTCACACGTACTCTCTAGTATTGCGTTATGTGTAGCACATCTGCTGTAATTTGTTCCGTTCTTTTATCGCAGAAGCTGAAAAGGCAGTCAACAAAGTACAGATCGGATAAAATCTACCCTACAGCAGCATCTGAACAACCAGAGAACATCAAGAAGAACAGATACAAGGACATCTTACCCTGTAGGTTGGAAATGGCAAATGCTCCTATTCAGCCTTTTTTTTTCCCTAGCTCAAGTCTGTTCTCATCCTCCAGTACCTGCCTGCACAGTTGCTTGCACGTGAGCGTATCGCTGGCTGGCAGTTGGCTTTGAATTCTGAGGTTCACATTTAAGGCTTTATCTTTGTTACAGTGCATGCTTTGGAAGATTTGGGCATGTATTTCACACAGACAGGAGAACTTGATTCAGTAGAAAATGCATCCTCTAATGATTGTCCTTGCAAGCTTTCTGGGCAGCATTGCAGTCTAAACCCCCAGACCATATCTGAGCCTGTAAGATGGAGTGCAGGTGATTTTAGGCTTAGCTTGCTCCACGGTCAGAGGAGGAGACTGGCGTTGCATCAGCTGCCTGCACGGCCACGGGGCTGCTCTGGCGTGTGAGGAGCTCCCTGCCCCGAGACAAGCAGTAACTGCTGCTGCTTCTGCTTTTGTGCCTGCAGTTGACCACAGCAGAGTGGAGTTGTCCCTGACTACATCAGATGCAGACTCTCCTTACATCAACGCTAGCTTCATCAAGGTAGAGCTTCTTCCGTGGTGTTTTGCCGTGCAAAGGTGTTTGTAGCAGCTGTTAGTGCTGCCTGGCCGAGTTGTGCCAGGGGGAGAAGGTCCTGTGGCTCTCGTGAGGGAAGGGACTGTGCGGTAGTTTCTGGGCTGTGCTCGAGGATAACTGATGAAAGAAGATCTGTACAACCCGTGAGCCCCTCAAATCCACCCCTTGCAGCACAGAGGCACCAGGCTACAGGATGCTGTTGTTGGGGTGGGTGGTGGAACAGTTTGTGGCTCACAGCCCTGACCTCCTTGTGGGTGTTACTGCCTTTGGTGGCTGGCAGTTGTGCAAAATTGCCTGTGGCCAGAGTCACCTTACCTGAAACCAGTGCGCAGGCAGGAAGCCTTGCACCACAGCTCCGCCGAGACCCACTGCAGCGGCGAGCAGCAGTGCAGGGCAGCACAGGCCAGCTCCCTGCCAGGAGCTCCACATGCTTTGTGGCTCTGTGTAACCTGTCTGCAGGAGAACAGACCTTCACAAGGGGGTCACTGTTCATTTATTGGCCAACAGCCGCAGGTGTGCCCAGCTGCACGCTGCAGAGCTGATCAGCTGTTGCAGCATCACCTCCAAGCTCCCAAATGCACCCAAGAACCAGAGATCACCTCTGGGAGCAGATCTCGCCTCAAGCCCAGCTCCCTGGCTTGGGTCTGCCTTTGGGAAGTTTGCACACCATTGGTTTCTGGTTGCCTAACTCAATGCAAGTGCCTAAACTTTAACTATATAAAAGACCTTCTAAGTCCCTAATGGACTCATTGAATAGAAGTAAGATTCAGAAAGAGGAATGATTTTATCTCTGCTAGTGAACTATGCAAAGATGTCTCTATGTCTGATGTGAATGCTGTTCTAGGGTGTCTATGGGCCGAGAGCATACATTGCAACCCAGGGTCCTCTCCCCACTACTGTCGTTGACTTTTGGAGGATGATTTGGGAGTATGAAGTTCTGGTAAGGTGCAGATTTATATGCGTTTCTGTTTTTTTTTTTAAAGAAAAGTTGTCCATACAGCCAGCCAGCAGTCCTATCTGACTAAGCAGATAGTGGGAGCATCAGGGCTTCACTCCAGATGCTGTGTGTGTGTCCCACATCTGCTCGTTGGCTGTGCCTGCCCGCGGGCTCTGAGTGGAAAAGGTTGTCGTGCTCTGGCTGTGGGTGATGTCCTGAGTTTGGTTTGCTTCACAGTCCAGGGTGCTGGGGAAGGCACCCACAGAACTTCCTCACTGCTGACAAGTACCCACAAGTGATGAGTTTGATTTTGCTGCCTGAATAAGAAATTTCTGTCCAGACTTTTCTAACAAACCTTATTTCTGCAGATTGTGGTCATGGCTTGTATGGAGTTTGAAATGGGAAAGGTGAGTAACATGTCCGAAGTGGCCTGTGCCAGGGCAGGGTGGAGAGATGTAGATTTTTTTATTAAATCTCATTAGTGACAGAAAGTTTCTGCTTGAGTCTCCAGCTGCAGATTCTTAAACCGGTTCTGGCAGCGTAGTCTCTTTGGAAGGGAAAAAATCCGCAATGATGGTTCCAGGGAAGGGGAGGCTGGAGCTGACCGACAGCAAGAGCCAGACCTCCTCCCAGTGAGGGTTTTGTCCTGCAAAGTAGGGCAGGAGACATGGTGGGTGGACCAGTGGTGAGTAGCCTAAATAGCCTAATGTGTCCCGCTTCTCATAACAGAAGAAATGTGAGCGGTACTGGGCGGAGGCTGGCGGCTCTCCCCTGCAGTGTGGCCCTTTCTCCATTGCCTGTGTGAGTAGAGCTGCCGTGAGCACCACGTCACATCGCATGCGCTGGAAATTCGTGTCACCCACAGAAAACGTGACTCTTAACTTCTCGTTCTGCAGGAAGATGAAGAGAAGAAAAATGAGTATGTGATTAGGACTTTAAAGGTGACCCTGAATGAGGTAAGTAGGAAAGGTCGGGGCAGGAAATGCATCTTGGCTAGCTTTAGGATATAAATAACGTATTAGAATACAGCACACTTTGAGGAGAAAATTTTATGCTGCTCAGCCTGCTATTTTAGACTTGGGAGTAGTTGAAGGCACAAAGTAAAAAATTAGTTAACTCAAACCTCAGTTTCTGAAGCTGTTCATCAGTTGTGGCAAATCAGACCCCGAGTAAATGAAGTCGACGGGTAACATCAAGAGTGTCATAAAATGGCAATGCTACCAGAGGGTAGCAAGACCCACTGCAAACTGCACCCCTAGCCTCTGC